TATATATATATATACTAGCAGCAAGCAACTGTAAAAATGAAATGAAAATTAAAATCTATTTACAATAGGATAACAAATTAAATATTTAAGAATAAAGTGAACAAAAGATGTGGAAAATCTATACACTGAAAACTATAAAATACTGCTGAGAGAAATTTAAAAATACCTAAATAGATGGAGAACTTGCCATGCTTATGGATTGAAAAATTCAATTTTATTAATTTTTCAATGGTTCACAAATTAATAGACACATTAAATTCAACCCACTCCCAAAATTCTCAAAAGCTTTTATGAAAAAAATTGATGAGCCGATTCTAAAATTTCTATGAAAATGCCAATAACCTAGAATAGCCAAAGCAATTTCAAGGAAAGAATAACAAAGCTAGAGGACTTACACTACTTGATTTTAAGACTTACTGGAAAGCTAGAGTAAAGAAGGCAGTGTGGAAATGACGAAAGGATAGATATCTAAGAGTCATGGAACAGAGTGGAGAGTCCAGAAGTTAGCCCCGCTAACTGGTTAACTGATTTTTGAGAAAGATGCCAAGGTAATTTAACGGGAAAAGAAAAAAGCTGTTTCAACAAATGGTGCTGAACATTGGATATTCCTATGGGGGGGAGGGCGGAGTAATATTAACCCTTACCTCACACCATATATAAAAATTTACTTGAAATGGATCATAAACCTAAATGGAAAAGCGAAAACTATAAAACTTCTACAAGAAAAGAATATTTGCAAACTTGGGGTAGACACAAACTTCTCATACAGGACACAACAAACACAAACTATCAAAGACAACAAATGGACACGGTGAACTTTATCACAATTCAAACTTCTCCTTTTCAAAAGGTTCCATTAAGAAGTAGGCAATGGTTTCTTAGATACTACACCAAAAACATAAGTGACAAAAGAAAAAACAGATAAAGTGGATTACATCAATATTAAAAATGTTTGTGCTGCCATCGGTACCATCAAGAAAGTGAAGACAACCCACAGAATGGAAGAAAATTTTTGCAAATGGTGTCTAATAAGGGACTTGTATCGAGGATTGAAAAAAAACCCTTAGAACTCAACAGTAAAAAGACAAATGACCCAATTTAAAAATGGACTGAAGATTTGAATAGATATTTCTCCAAAGATACCCACGTGGTCGAAAATGCACATGAAAAGATGTTCAACATCATTAGCCATGACAGAAATGCAAATGAAAACCAGATTGAAATACCACTTACACTCACTAGGATGACTATAATCAAAAAAGACAGACAATAACAAGTGTTGGAAAGGATATGAAAAAATTAGAACCCTCATACATTGTTGGTGAGATTTTTAAAGGGTGCAGTAACTTTTGAAAATTGTTCAGAAGTTCCTCAAATGTTAAACATAGAGTTACCATATACCCTATATACCCAAGAGAAATGAAAACATATATCCACACAAAAACTTGTACATGATTGTTCATAACAGCATTGTTCATAATTGCCAAAAGGTGGAAACAATTCAAATGCCCATCACCTGATGAATGGCTGAATAAAATGTGGCACATACATACAATGGAATATTATTCAGCCATAAAAAGGAATGAAATATTGATATATGCTACAATATGGGTGGATCTTGAAAACATATGCTAAGTGAAAGAACCCAGTCACAAAAGACCGTATTTTTTATGATTCCATTTTTATAATATTTTAGAAAATAGAAAATAATCTCTAGTGAGCAAAAGTAGATCACTGGTGGCCTGGGGCCAGGGGCAAGGGAGGCAGGATAACAAAGGGGCACAGGAATCTTTTGGGGGTCATGGAAATTTTCTGTATCTTGATTGACTATGGTGGTGTTTCCCCGGTATTTATCCCTCACATTCATCACTGAATTCAGTTTAAATGGATGCAGTTAATTGTATGTAAATTATACCTCAATAAAGTTGATTTTTTTAAAGTAATGGAAACAAGAATCGCAGTTAACAATTTGTATACAGCACATCAAATGTTTCTATAAACAGCAGTTTATAAACTGCTTAGTAGTGCCTGTTAAGTAGTTTTTTCTTAGATAGTTCAAGCATTCATCTGGATTTTGTGATTAATCAGGCTGACAAACCTCATATAGGACCCCCAAAGGTTAATTTCAGCCCAATTCCTCTGAATTACTAAAAACACTGAATGATGTGGTCCAAATTAATGAAGTTTTCCTATAACTTTAAAAAGGTGGGGGGGGGGACAACTCTGATATAAAACCTCAGTGACAGAATTGGGGTAACTGTGCCAACAGTATGACTTCAAAGTTTGGTTCTAAGACTGGTTCCATTACAGACACTTTCCTGTTCTCAGGACAACCTATCTTGACATAAAATTCTGCTAGTAAGCATACAACAGACTTGCTCAGAAAAGCAGAAATTAAATCTACTTGAACTTCATCTCATAAGATTAAAGACCATCTGCACAGACATACTGGTAAATGAAGTAAATGTCCATAAAGAAAGAAAGCAGTATTCACTGAGGACCCACTATTTAACAGATTATTCTCCACACTTTCCCACTCAATATCCACTGTCGTTCTTAGTTGTTTTCGAGTTGATTCCAACTCATGGAGACCCATATGTGCAGAGTAGAACTGCTCCATAGGGTTTTCAAGGCTGTGACCCTTTGGAAGCAGATCGCCAGGCCTGTCTCCCAAGGCACCTCTGGGGTTCAAACCGCCAGCCTTTCAGCTAGTAAGTCAAGCACTCAACCATCTGTGCCAGCCAGGGACTTCGATACCCATTAATGTAAATATTACTCTCCTCATTTTTTTCCCCATTAAGGAAACTGATACTCAGAGAGGTCAAATTATTTGCCCAAATTAACTCAACTAGTAAGAGGCAGAGTTGAGATTTACATATTTGGGTTACTTTTAACTGATTTAGTTATAGCTTCATAAACAGAAAACTAAAGCAAATAAATACATATAGCTTTGGATTCAAGTATTAGTGCTTTTCTTGAACTACCATTAAAAAGCGCACATTTAAATATACTACTGACATTTTCTGGGGCTTTGCTAATCACCAAAGTGTCATATTCCTCCTCTTGGGCAGTCAAGATTTGTTGGGAAAGTGATTAACCTGCTTCTTTACGAGTAGATTCTACCTAAAACAAAATCACATAAGCGTCCAATGTGTGCCCCAGATTTGGGGAGATCCACTGCTCTTTAGGAAGAACCAGCGACATGGAAAACTGTAAAACAGAAGGTTGCACTTGTGACTGGGGAGTTATGGAGGCAGTGGTGGTTTAGTGATAAAATTCTTGCCTTACACGCGAGATTCGTGTTCTGTTCCCGGCCAGTGCACCTCGTGTGCAGCCACCAATCACCTGTTAGTGAAGGCTTGCATGTTGTTAGGATGCGGAACAGGTTTCAGCAGACTTTCAGAATAAGATGGCCTGGGGAAAAAGGCCCAGAGGTCATCGACTCCCGAACAATCAGCCTCTGAAAACTCTATGGAGCACTCTGGTCTGATCCTATTGTGCATGGGGTTGCCATGAGTCAGGGGCCGACTTAATGGCAGCTAACAACAACAATTGGGGAGTTAATGTGGAACCAAGCAGTCAAAAACTGCTTATACTGACAGCTTCATGGCTGACTATACAAATCTGCAATACTGATGGTCACCATCTAGAACTGTCATTTGACCTCCAGAAGAATAAAAGAGAAAAATCATACATATGCTTCTACTTTGGAAACTTAAAAATATTTATACAAAGAAATCATAACCTACTGAAAATATTGTAAAGACAATGAAGGATTAGATAAATGTATTGATGAACACTTATTTGCATTCTAACATGATCCCGAGTTCATGGGCTATTTAAACATTCCTAAGGAAAAAAGAGAACATGAAAAACAGCCTAATCATCAATTCTTCTAAATACCTTTAGCAATACAGAGTCTACAAATCATTAATAAGTAATGAAATTTAAGTATATATTCTGATCTTAAACAAACAAAAAAAAAAACCCTTCAATCATAAAGCTCAATAATGATGCTCCAGAATTTATTTATTTACTCAGACAATAGTAAAAGCTTAATACTGTTACATCATTTCCTTCACTGTATTCTAATAAATTTAGTTCTGGGATACTCCCAGGAATTATAGTACTTAAAGCATTTATGCAAGGGGGGGGGGGCTAATTTCATTTTAAGTTTAAAAAACACATATTCATGTAAAGTCTCTACCTGAACATTCAGCTTTCTTATCTCCTCCCTCCTCTGGCAATCTCCAGCGTTACTGGAATGAAGAAATTATCTAACGGGGTGATAACGTCATAGTCTGACTTCAATTATACTTATGTCTGGTATGAATTCCCAAATCAGTCACATACAGAGGTGTAACTAAGGTGTAGCAGGCAGGGCACGTGCCCTGGGCACCAGTTGAGGAGGGGCACTAATGAGCAGTTTCCATTGCCAGCTGTGAGAGATCATTCAGCAATTTAAAACTAATTGTCATAGGCGCTATTCTCCATAGATAGGCCCCTGCATGTGCATTTATCTGCCAGAGGAAGAGTAGAAGGGAAAGGCACAGGCGCACAGCTACCATCTGCTTTCCTCCCCCGGCATCCCTGGAAATGAAGACAGGGTGGGAGTTTCTCCTAGAGACAAGAGCAGAGTGTACTTCACAGTGGCCTCACTGAAGTGTTTTCAAGAAGCAACATTTGGGCCTCACACATTAAAAAGCAACATAGACATCTTGAATATAGACACCCTGCGATAGCAACATCAGATTCCATTGTCAGGGCTTTGGATTTTCAGTCTAGCCCAGCGGCTGCAAACTAGACCAGGTGAGGCCTATACACTGCTGTGCTCCTACCAATGTCTTTAGTTGGATACACCCTTCTCCCGTTCCCACAGTTCTCACCATTCCTAATTGTCATACCTGGCCACTACATTAATTTATTTTCCAGACTGACCCTTCTAGGCATTTGAGTTTGCAACCCCTAGTCTGCATACATCAATTAAACAAGGTACTTACAGCTGCATGACCAAGTACAAGTGATTTGGGCTTTCATAAATATCTTCCAGGGCAACGATGTTTTCATGCTTAATCCTAAAAGAAAAGAAAAACACACACACAATAATAAGTACAATTAGACCTGAAAGTTTTTAAAAACAGATGTCATAATAGCAAAAGTTACAAGTGTCAGCAGGAAAGTTTAACAGGACATTTAATACTCATCACAATCTTATCCCTGAACTTTTTCCAGACCCATTTCCCAATGTTCCTCCCCTACTCCCTACTCCACTTTATTCCTAATGCTATTTACTCTATAATTTAGCAATACTGGATTAACTATTGTTCCTTCATGTATATTCCAGCCTCTCTGCATTTATTCATGTGAATCCCAAGAATGGGACAAACAGGAATGCCTTCTCCCTTATCTCTCAGGGCTCAGCTCAATTGGCAAAGCCCCCAGTCAGAATGTAATTGATCTCTCTCCACAGTCTCACAGTCATCATCACAGACTGGCCTGAATAGTGAATTGTCTGCGTATCAGTCTCCATAACAAGCAATGTGTTCCGTAGAACAGGGTCACCATCACGTTCATGACTCCTGTGTAGGCAAAGAAAAACCAGACTGGCCCCACTACTTACTGGCTTTCTAGATGTTAACACCACCACCAAATGTCAACTCCATATCCCACAGCACCGGCATCTCCTAGAAGCTTGTTAGAAATTCGCGAATCAGAATCCCTGAGGGTTGAGCCTGGGAATCTGTGTTTTAACAAGATCCTCAAATGATCTATGCACAATCTACAGTTTGAGAAATATTATATTAGACTAGTGCTTCTCAAACTTTAATGTGCAAACATATCACCTGGGGATCTTGTTAACAATGCAGATTTTGATTCAGTGGGTCTAGGGCAGGGCCTAAGAGTCTGCATTTCCTACAAACTCCCAGGAGATGCTGATGCTCCCGGTCTGTGGCTCACACTCTGAGTAGCAAAGTCCTAACTACAGGACAAAGGCAGAAGGAAATGGCCTGACTCTAGTCCCTGGAACTACCCATTAAGACCAGTTTCTGCTCTGAACCTAAGGCTTGATATTTACTTAAAGCATGTGAATGAAGAATCATTCTGTTATTCAATGAGCTAACTAGCTCCTACCACAAGCCTTTCATTGAAATGACTGCTGAACAATTTAAAAGCAAGCATTTAATATGAATAATCCTCTGAACCCCTTGAAAGCAGGGACTACAGCTTATTTATTTTCTTTCCTCCTCGTGACTAGCACAGCTCTGCTTAATAAATGTTTGCTGAATGAATGAATAATATTTAAAGATCATTGCCACTGAACCGCAAGAAACAATATTACTTAGGAAAAAAATGGAGGCCATTTTCCTAAGCATGAAACACCTTCCCCTCAAAAAGCAGTTCACAAGGTGGAACAAACAAAAATATTATCTTCCCTCTGAGCAGAAGTTGGAAGAATAAAATAAAATAATTAACTAAGAGTGACACTGTTTTGCTTTGGTTTTTATACTCTTATTTAGTTACTGCAGTTGTTTTACAGGAGCTAAATGATGGGAATTATACTAAATTCACATTTCACCTGGTTACAATGCAGAATCAAAACCAGGTGACATCAAGTCCACTCTGACTCATGGCAACCCCAGGTGTCTTAGAGTCTACAGACTAATAGGATTCTGCAAAGTGGAATGGTACAAGGTCAACATACAAAAATCAGATGGATTCCTCGACACTAACAAAGAGAACTCCGAAAAGGAAATTAGGAAAAAATATCATTTACAATAGCACCCCAAAAGATAAAATACTTAGGAATAAATCTAACTAGGGAAGTAAAAGACTTATACACAGAAAACTATAAAACACTACTGCAATAAACCAAAAGAGATCTTCAAAACTGGAAAAACATACCAGGCTCATGGATAAGAAGACTCAGCATTGTGAAAATGTCAATACAATCTAAAGTTACCTGTAGATACAATGCAATCCCAATCCAAATTCCAACAATAATCTTCAGCAAGATGGAAAAACTAATCACTGACTTTACACAGAAAGAACCACCGGATAAGTAAAGCATTAACAAAAAAAAAGAACAAAGTGGGAGACCTCACGTTTTCCGATCTCAGAATCTACTATGCAGCCTCAGTAGTCAAAATAGCCTGGTACTGGTACATCTGTACATAGACCAATGGAACAGAACTGAGAACCCAGGAGTAAATCCATCCACCTATGGACACCTGATCTTCCAGAAAGGGTCAAAGTCCATTAAATGGGGAAGAGATATTCTCTCCAACAAGTGGTGTTGGCAAAACTGGATATCCATTTGCAGAAAAATGAAACAGGATCCATACCTCACACTGTCCACAAAAACTAACTCAAAATGGATGAAAGACCTAAATGTAAAACATAAAACTATAAACACCATGAAAGAAAACATAGGGACAACACTACGGGCCCTAATCTATGGCATAAATAAAATATCAAGCATAACTAAAAATGCACAAACTCCAGAAGATAAACTAGATAACCGGAACCTCCTAAAAATTAAATGCTTATGCTCATCAAAAGACTTTACCAAGACAGTATACAGAGAACATACCGACTGGGAAAAAATCTTTTGCAATGACATATCTCATAAAAGTTTAGGCTATAAAATATATAGAAAACATCAATACCTCAACAACAAAAAGATAAATAATCAAATCAAAAAAGGGGCAAAAGAGAGGCAGGGCCAAGATGGTGGAGTAGTCAGACACTTCTGGTGTACCCTCATACAACAAAGACCAGAAAAAACAAGTGAATCAATTATATACGACAGTCTAGGAGCCCTGAACATCTAAGGCAAAGTTGAGGAACTGGACTGAGTGGCAGGGGGAGGGAGAGATGGTTCGAAAGCAACAAGGAGTTGCCAGACATGACGCAGTGAGAGCCTAAGCCCTTCAGGCCTGAGCAGCTCATGGGTGAGCGGTGAGGCAGACAAGCAGCAGTGCTCAGGAGGCATGTTTTCCGCACGAGGAGAGACCTAGTGCCACAGAATCTACTCAAGAGAGCCAGCACCAGTGAGAAGCAACCCTGGATCGGCAAAAGAGAAATACTTGCATACAGCCTACAGCATGGATCAAAAACACCCTCCTTAGGGATAAACCTCTCTCCCATTTACCTTCCTGCTCCCTGCTCTGCACTGGGTTCCGGAACGGCTTCAGCAATTGCCGACTTCCTTGGGACAGGAATACGATCTGTCACACGCCCTGAGCCATTCTCCTGGCCTTGGAGAGTGAACAAATTAACAAACAGGAAAAAATAAACTGCTGGCTCCTCTAAGCCAGGAACCCAGGGTAGGCACAGCTCCTTTGCCTAGGCACAGGCATAAGGGATCCATGGACTTTGAGTGCCCTTCTCTCTGCAGAGATTTGTGTGGGCCCATTTCAACACCATAGGCCCTCATTACCGCTACAACAGGGTATATACTTGAAGCCTAACTTGAACTGTTTCAGCTGTGAAGTGGCATGTTCTTGACATTTGACACTGCTTTGCCCACTAAGCAGGGTCTTCACCTACACACATCACGGACCTGAGGACTGGTGGCTCCACCCACGCAACCTAGCCACCTGTGATAGGGGCCCAACAATAAGAGGTGTTCCCCGGTCCTTATGGCCAACAGCACTGGGTGCTACAGTCCAGCTGCAAAACCCACCCACCTACGTGCTCTAGGGAACAGGGACATGCCTTCCTCCTGGACACTCGGGGGTGGCTGTCAGCCCCCTGCCTTGCTCCGAGTGTGTTCCCCTGCTGCAGCCAGATGCCTGTGCCTACATCAATCACCCATGCCTGTCTAGGACTGTAGGTGAGAGCCTACATCACACACTTGGTGGCTATCTACCTGGGCACAGGAGCTGAATCCATACAGGAGGAGTGGGCGTATTCCTAAGCTCACATACCTAGTAACAGATCTAACCAACTGGTGACAGGACATTAGAGATTCAAAGGTGCCAATAATCAAACTAGCTCATATTAGCAGCCTATTTGGGCATATCAAAACAAAACAAGAAGCTAGGATGCAATAGACAAACATAAAATTAATAAATATAATAACTGATTGATGGCTCGGAGACAACAGTCAATATTAAATCACATAAAGAGGCAGACTATGATGGCTTCAGCAAGTACCCAAAATAAAGAATCTAGAAATTTTCCAGAGGTGGAAAATTTCTTGGAATTACCAAAAGCAGAATAAAAAAGATTAATATACAGAACTCTTCAAGAGATCAGGAAGATTAGGCAGAATGCAGATCAAGCATTAGAGGAAGTTAAGAAGATTAGAGAAGAGCATAATGACAAATTTAACAGGCTGCAAGAATACAGAGACAGAAATCAGCAATTGAGAAGATTAACGATAAAATTTCAGAATTAGACAACTCAATAGAAAATCACAGGAGCAGAATTGAGGCAGTAGGAGTCAGAATTAGTGGCATTGAAGATGAAGCACTTGACATCAACTTCTTTGAGGAAAATTCAGATAAAAGGATTTAAAAAAATGAAGAAACCGTAAGAATTATGTGGGATTCTATCAAGAGGAATAACCTACAAGTGATTGGAGTATCAGAATGGGGGGGATAACAGAAAATACAGAGAGAATTGTCGAAGATTTCTTGGTGGAAAACTTCCCTGATATCATGAAAGATGAGAAGATATCTATCCAAGATGCTCATTGAACCCCACATAAGATAGATCCCAAAAGAAAGTCACCAAGACATATTACAATCAAACTTGCCAAAACTAAACATAAAGAGAGAACTTTAAGAGTGGCTAGGGATAAACAAAAAGTCCATCCACAAAGAAGAGTCAATAAGAATAAGCTTGGACTACTCAGCAGAAACCATGCACGCAGGAGGGCAATGGGATGACATATATAAAGCCTCAAAGTAAAATACTACCAGCCAAGAATTATATATCCAGCAAAACTGTTTCTCAAATATGATGGCGAAATTAGGGCATTTCCAGAAAACAGAATTTTAGGGAATTTGCAAAAATCAAACCAAAATTACAAGAAATATTAAAGGGAGTCCTCTGGTTAGAAAATCAG